AAATTAGTGAATATATCGAGAGAAGATTTGAAATAGATACAGCAAACCCGAAGAAAATACTTAATAGTTTATTAGAACGACATCATAGCAAAATTGTTTTAGACAAAGTATTAGTCAAGAGTAAAGAAAAGTTCATGAATGCAACATTAAAAACAGAAGAAGAAGAGATCAAAGAAGAGGTAGTAAGACACTTTCAGGACCAGTTTATACGAAGAGAACATAAATATGATGAAATAGATAGCAAGTAGAAAGAAAAATACAAAGAGCAAGATAGTATTAGAAAAGAGTAATACAAACCGGTCATGGAAGAAATCACAAAAAAAGAATAGAATGAGGTGATAAACACACTACAAAAAGATACTGCACTAGGAATTTCAGGTATTTGCGCATTATATTCACTGTTTAAATGCCTAATTCATGCATTGTAGAGCATTTCATCTATTTTGTTTATGCTTTCCCCTAGGCTACTCATTCCCTTTCTAAACAATTTTTCGAGTATCTTTGCTCTACTATATATTAATAACTTTGATATCTCTTTTCAAATCTGACTCTTTATATTTTATGTCTTTGTTGATGGAATATACTCATTTGCTACTACTGTAAATGCTTTTACTATTGTGTCCCAACTATCATCAATACTTTCTTTTTCTATATTCTCTATTTTGCTATTTTGCTTTTCTTATCTTCTTTCTGCATTTCGAAATATTCATTCTACTTTATGACTATATCTTCCTAATTTTCCTTTGTAGCTTTGTTGTAATGATATATTCTTCACATTTCTTTCTTTTCTTTTTGATTTCTTACCTTATTTTTTTCAAACAGATCTACACTATTTATTTGTAACCAAACTATATTATAGTCGCTATCTGTTATAGTTTCTGCGCTATCTATATTGCTTTTTGTGATAAATAGTTTTAGATCCTGATAGTACTAAATATAGTCTATTCTTGTTACAATTCTACCATTCGACTATGAGAACTTGATTGTATCAGGTTGCAAAAGCGAAAGGTCTCTATGTAATCTGTTCTTTTAAGCTACTTTATAACTCTTGAATTGGCATCTATTGTTCTTTTTCCTTTGCTACTTGTATCTAATTTTCTATCAAGTGCTGCATTGAAATCACCCATAATAATACGAAATATGTTTTTCTTGTTTTTAACTATTTCCTCTAAAATTATTTTATAAACTTTTTTAGCAATTTCTTCATTTTTGGATGGTATATACGCTACCCAAACTTGTAACACAACTTTCCTGAAATAGAATTCTGCTTTAAGTAGATATAAGCTAAATTTTTTGCAAGCTCCTATATAGCAGTACCAATTCAAATCTACTAGTAGTCTGATTCTCGAACTTTTGTTTTTTTTTTCATCTGTATTTGATTAGAAGCTCCTATATTCGTTATTCTCTATATTTAATCATTTTCCTTCTTTTTCGTATATATTAATTTCAACAATTCCTATTAAGTTAAATTTCTCTTCCTTACAATACTTAACTAATCGCTCTAGCTTTAAGCAGTCTCCCTTTAGTCTATTTATATTGTGCATTCCTATTTTAATTTTCTCTTTCCATTTGTTTTTTGCTATTGTGTTTATATCTTTTTTTCTGTCTAGTTCGTGTTCTGCTATCTTTCTATTGTCTTTTGGTTTGTATAATTATATACCTTTCTTGTATATTCAAGTTTTCCTTCTTGATCTATATAGGCTTTCTGTAGTTAGACTTTGGTGACTTTTAGGAGTGATTTGGAGCACTAAGCTTCCATTTACTAACTTCTTCTTCTAGTCCTCATATAAGTTGAGCTAGTTGAGTTATATATTCTAAAGGTCTGTTATTGCTTTTGTGGTAGCCTTGCTTGTTTGTTTTTCTTTCTACGTTGCTTCTGTTTTCCTTTTGAATGATACACTTCTTTTCTATCTTATACTTCTCTTCTTTACTATCACTTGATGCTTCTTGCATTCTTCCATACTTCTTTTGCACAAATTTTAAGCATTCACCTTCTTGTTTTTGTTTCTCTTCTTTTCTTTTTCCTAAACTCTTTTCGCTTCTTTTTGAGTATGCTTCAGATTCTCTAAGATTCTCTTCTCTCCAGCTTTTAAGTGACTCAAGTTCTTGTTCTCTTGTATTTGCCTATTTTAGCTTGTTGTTGTAGTAGTACATTGAGAATTTAGAGATATTTATCATATCTTCTTGGCTTTCAAAATACACTGTCACACTTCTTATGTTGTTATAATTAGAGTTTTGAAAGATATGTAGTGCCTTTGCTCCTGACTTCTTAATTTGCCTCTATAGTAAAACTTTATTCGTATTTTCTGATAAGTCTAATAGCTTTTTGCTAAACCTATTTCTTATACGAAGTAATTCTTGATTATTAGTATCTGCTGTAATTCTTACCATTATTTGATTCGCGAATGGTAAACACCAAATCTCTTTCTTTATCTCTTCATTGCAGGTGCTTGCTTTAAACTCAATTTCTGCTTTGGTTTTGTCATATGCACTTTTAATCATCTCTATATGTTCAACTCTTCCTAAAAAGTGTACTATCTCAAAAACTTGTATTCTCTTTGCTCAGCTTGGTAGGTTCTAAACTATTATTTTATTTTTATCTTCACTTTCATTTGTGTACTTAGAGTCATGTTGTCTTCTAGTATTCTTCTCAGACATAACTTCTTGTTGTTTTATGACATTTGTATCCTTTTTCTTCCTTCTTGTAAAGACTTCTTCTAACTCTAATTTTGCTAATTCTTCTCTTCTTTTTCGTATTTCTTCCTCAGAAGTCTCAATACGCTGATTCTTTAACACTAATACCTCTTTTTCCTCTTCAGTATTTTCTTCAAGAATTAGTCTAGCTTGTTCGTATATTTCTTTTTTGTTCTCTAGCTTTTCTTTAGCCTTTTCATAGCCTTTTTTGCAATCAAATATTAATGTACACCATAAGTTATCTCGTTCGAACTTTTCTGATACTTTTTTTAAGTGTACATTTCTTCTAATCGACCATCTCAATAATTTTTCTCTATGTTCTGCATTGTTTTCTAACACATTAATAGCTGCTACTTTTGCTCTTATGTTTTCTTCTCCTTCATATCTATCTTTACTTAGTGCCAGATGCTTTTTTCTAATGAAGAGTCTGATTCTATAGGTATCAGATACTCTTCTGATTCCTCTGCAATATCCAAGTACTGATTTTGACTTATTCTAACTATGTCTTTGTCATGTATTTCTTTAATATCTTCTGTTAGACTATATATTTCCTTACTTTTTCACTTATTAAAGAGTAATTTGCTACTACTACTTGCTCTTCTATACTGTTATCTGTTTTTGCTGAATCTATTTGTTCTACTATTTCTATATCTGATTTACTCTCATTTTCTTGAATTGCTAATTCATTGCTTTTTGCAGTCGTATCTTGAGCTCCTTGCCCTAAAACTATTTTGATTTTATCTATTTCTTCTGTCATTGCTGCTCTCTCTATGACCTTTCTTCATTCCCTTGCTAGTGTTACTATGTCACTCTCTACTTCTAATATTTCTGCAATCATTTTATCCATATAATTATCTAAACCCATTACTGCTTTGCTTCTTTCAGTAATTATTTCTTAGCCATACAATTTGAAATAACAAGAAAAAAAATTTTATGATCATAAAAGAACTTACATAGTGTCACTATGAAAAAATAGTAGCTAGATTTTTTGCTAGCCAACTTATATATGACTTTAAATTCTGATTACTAGTAAAATTATATATTATGCAATTTAATATTAATAATGATCTGTATTTAGTAAAATCACAATTAATTGTTTAACTTTTACTTTGTCTTTATTATTCGTTATGTCATATTTACAAGAACAAGTTTGCAAAAAGTATTACATATCTCAAAATTATGAAAAATTTCAAACGAAAAAGGTGTTTTGTTAAAAAAATATTTAATATGTCAAACCAAACTTAAAATGATATATTTAATAAACAAAGTTTCTCTTGAACCAACAATAAGTTATACAGATATTACTGAAACTGTATATAACTCTTTAATTTCTTTAAATAATATTAATAATTTTTATCAAGAACTCTTTCCATCGATCACTTTAACCAAATTTAGAACAGAAGAAAAAAACAAGAAAACTCAAAATTTCTACTAAGGACAAATACAAAAGCTACTAATTAAAAGAGAAGAGCAGAGAAAGATACAGATATCTATGCAAAAATAAAGAAAAAAATTAAAGAAATCCAAGAGTATAAAAGAAGTTTTGACTCAAAAACAGATAATTAAAAAATTTTTTAAAAAATTTGAGGAATCAAACAAACTCTGAATTGTAGATCACTTAATGTAGTACAAATATATGCAATTAAGGTAAACAAAAATGCATCATAGAAAAAATATATGTTACGTGCTTTATAGTAGAGATATTACATGCAAGACCAAAACTAGATAGTTTACTAGCAACTAGGAAAACTCACAGGGAATTTTTCAAAAAAGTCGAGATCACTTTAGATAATAGAAAATATAGAGAATAAAGTATGTGGAACAGAGAAAAAGCAAAAAGAT